TCACATGAGTAACTGAGTACTCACTGAGTAACAATACTCAGAAATTGTTAGTAGTACCAATATGAGTACTCATGGACGAATTATGAGTAAAGTCGTACTCATCGTATGAGTACTTTCACTAGGGAAGTGTTTACAGAGATATTCGAGAAAAAAGTACTACAGTCGTCAAAAGTGTCATATCGGAATTTCAGAATACTAAGTAGAGGGGTTATATTATTTTGAACATTCAAACAACATTAAGTCTTTCATCGGTAACTTCGTCTTTGCTTAGCTGAAAAAGGTGTTATTGTTACCTCTAATTTTCTTAATTGCTGATCTCTCTCATGAATTGTTTGTAAATCGACTTGATTTTCCACGGCTATAATAGCTTGAGTTTGTTGCTGTGAACTGAATGTAGAGTCAAATGGTTCTTCTTCTCTATTGTGATATATTGCTACACCCTCTTGCTAGAAAACGGGAAGTATGAGATGGTGAATTTATTCCCTCGTTTGTCTTAAGAGACCTACTGATGCTCCTCTTGCTCTATTTAAACTTTCTCTTTCTTTTTGAACACCTAAACGTTGTGTTTGTTGAAAACGCTCTAACAATTTTAAATATTGTGACGGTAAAGTGTCGGTCAAAATCCTTTTACGATTCTAAGATATATAAACAATACATATGTACAACACATTCAAGTACAAAAATAGTGTATATTTACTATATCCGCTTCTGTATGAACTGGAATATTTTTTAATTGCTGAAAAGCTTGATTTGTAGTTTGTATTAAAAGTTTTGTGTCATTTCCTAGTTTATGACTAGAGAAAAATAGTCATTAACTCATAGCGTAAGAATCATTGCTCTACAACTTACTAACGAGTTCTCAATGGTTCTGAATCTTCTGCCGTTCCAATCTTCTTCACTAAATTTTCTATGTCGTTTACTAAACAAAAAAATGTCTAATTAAAAGTATAATGTGTTTATATTTTGACACTTACCATTACTACCGATTTTCTGTAAATTTATTGTTATTCCATTGTGTATCCGTTGAAAATCACTGGCAGACGACACTTAACAAAGCAAGATAATATGTCAATAACTACATTGCTGACTATTTGTTTTATAAACATACTCGAGAAATAAATAGGAAAATTTGTTGAAAATGTATAAATCTGAAAATGAATGAAGGCAAAGTATATGTGGCGAAAGTCAAATAGAATTATACGGTCTAATTAGCTCCGAATGTTGGATCAGTGGTTTTAACGAGAGATTGTATCGATACTTAAAACATTGAATGTACACTCTGTATTCAGCAGGAAGAAACCGAAAAATGTAGTCCTAGTGGATCTTTTTTCTATCTTTTCTAGATCTGCTCTGATGTTCGTCCAACATATATCTATCACAAGGCCTGTATCCCGAATTACGAAAAGAAAATGCTTGTTTTTCATAAAAGAATTTGATTCCTTATTATGGCAGCTCCATTGCAGGTACATTCAAATATATGACATTTTTACCTGTTGTCAAAAAAAAACCTGTAATTGGTATTCAAAGTAAAAACTGCTTTAGAATCTTGAAATAAAAAAATGTTCTCTCAATTAAGGACTACACGCTCATATAAAGTGAGTGAATTATGGCTGTAACGCCATTTTTATCACTTCAGTCAATGGTTTGTCCTTCTCAAATGGCAACTCTGCACAAAACGTACTAGAACAGAAGGAAGCACTCGTTCCACACAACCATTTCTTCTCTTAACGCACTGCGAACATGACGCCCATTTTTTCCTTGTTTCCTTGTTCTAATATGTGTTTTCTTACTGATAGGCAGTAAAAATAATATAAAAAACTAATTTAATAATTTAAACATTCAAGTCTATTGTAAGTATACCACCGCATTTTGTGAGAAGGTCAAAAGTTATAAATCCTTTCTCATTTTTTTGCCACAAACTTCAGCTATCTTTTTCATTAATGATTTTGAAATTATAGAAGCTTTATAAAAATAAATAAGATATTTTTTCTCGCTGTGTAAGGTCGATTGACTACATAAATATCTCAATATAAAAGTATAAAGAAGTAAGAAATACCCGGAAGACTTATTATGCTAGCGCAAATGGGAGTAACTTCAGTGTAAGCTCGCTTTGTCGTTAGTGGCTTCCAGAATATAGAGATTATCACTTCGATCCTGTTAAAGACACAGACGACAGTAGAGCAGCCAGAAAAAAAACTCAATTACAGGATGTAAGATTGACTCCAGCAACAAATCAGTATGAGCGATAAGATCCATGATGATGCATGGATGTTGTTTAAATCCACGACAAACGTTACTTTATTTATAATACTCATAGGAAAACCAAAAGGCATCAGTCTTCATCTTACTTTTATTATGGAATGAACAAATGTCGTTCCTTACCCAACCAAAATTAGGAAATATAACGTGGAGAAACCTTAGTCTACTCGAGGAGGCAGTCATTCTTCAAACGAGCGCATTACATTGTATCAAAGACTTATAACAAGATTGTTCAATTCTGCAACAAAAGATGAAGAGAATGATTTAGGGTGTAAAATGAGTAGCAGACTGCTACTTATACTTGTGTGCTATACGCACACAAAAAAGGGATATACAATTTACGCGTTAAAGGGAAGAGTGAATGAAAGAGAAAAAATGTGAAGAGAGTATGCCATCACATTTGCTATCTTGATAAATTGTGTGAGGCTTGACTCTATCTACCAGCTTAATCTCAGTGATTAAAATAGAATGACAATACCAAAAAGAAATTAAACATTAAAAACATGCATGTACCTAAACATCTATCTAATTTTTGTATTTAGTATGTTTTTTCTATTTTCAAGGTAATAAAGTAATCAATAAAGCGGAAGATCAATTACGCTTGACTTTCTTGAGATATTTGTATGCATACTAAATCAAACGCATAGCTCATGCGTTTTGTTTGAGTAAGAATCTTAAGCTCCTGTAGACAAGTCTTGAGAAACGGTATCGTCATGCGGTTGAGAAAAAACTTTACGATAAGCAGTAAACTGAAGAGGTGCTCTGTTCAAGATTCGCATTAAATACGCTATGTAATAGCAGATCCTTATCATTGTGAATGTCAGTTACATACTCTTGCGCAATCATATATTTACATATAAAACGTGAACTCACTTACTGACCACCTATATATTTATATAGATGATTTGAATACTTGAGTTAACTTAATGGAACTGAAATCTCACTTACTTAATGTTATTCCGTGTCTTACTCACACTAGTCAGTCAATCAGTAAGTAGAATTTATATAGATCAGTATTTCATCTCGACTTTTTCATTGGTCTTGAAAAAAGTAGAAAGTAAACACTTCAGATGACTCATTCGAAATGAGTTTACCTTTTTGTTTCAGTTTTTTCGAGTCCATCATTTTTCTTATATTAGAGAACATATAGATATTACTCACAGATATAGTTAGTTAGTCATCTAATACGCATAAGAAAGGACGATTAATAATTAAATTCTGATACGAGCATTGATTGAAACATTGTTGATTAGCTCTTTGTCGCTATACATCCGGCAAGAAAATCTAGACGATAAAGAACGACTAAATGGTTCGATTGAACTTCATACAGTACCACCACTATAACCAATCTCGTGGGTGGCTTCACAAAAAATCTGCAAAAAAACCATATAGCGCAATCTTTTAAGATCAACAAAAACTAATTAAAGATCAGATACTACACGTGCGTCAAAAGTCTTAGGCTGTCATATTGGGTCAAAAATTTATTATACCCCAGAGGAAATTTTAGTATATACAACAGGGTGTACACCCGTGAATGTCGTGAAATGAACTGTGGTCCCACATGAACATTGTAAAATGGTCAAATCAACTCGTCAAGCTCTTTCGATTAGTATATAACATATAATTTTTCTCTTCTTTTTATAATTGTGTTGGACTAATTAAACTTTAACTGCAATTACTTATCCTAAAACTTCTTGCTGAAAATTTCTTTTCATCAGCTATTGTGCATCCAAAAAAAGAATGGTCTCGATTATTTTTTAAATAACTTTTGATAGAAAAATGATAGAAATCTGCGATCTTCAGCAATCGAAACACGACAGTTTAAGCTATATTTTCACAAGCAAAATCGTCTTTCAAAAACATTTTGAAGATCCCGTTTTCTACGGGACCTTTGGAAAACCAGCTCGACTTTCTAGAAATCGACATAGTAAACTATCGCTCTTTTTGTTTTAGATAGATAGTCCGAAGTGTCCTGTACAAACTAAGATCTAAGCAAAAGTTTGGTTTTGCTTGGTTCGAGCGTTACAGACCTTTTCCCCGAAACCTTACGACTTCTCTGTCGCTAGGTTTAGACTGTCAGAAATGTATAAAAACATAGATTACCGGCTATGCTAAATCTCGTGGCAATATTTGCTTTTCATAAAAGTTTCAAAACCCAGTAAAAACGTATATGCGATGAAATATTCCATTTTTGCCTATTTTTTAGTTAAATTAAAAATTTCATAACCCAGGTAAGAGCCATCCCAATTATGTCAGAATATCAAGATGTACTCTATTTACCTGCTCCAAACGATTTTTACTTGAGAACACTAAAAAACATTCATGTACTTCGAAGGATTCCTAGAAAACCTTTTTCAAAAACCAAAGTATTTTCTATAATATCATATAATATAGCTGTATCGATATTCTGATTTTTTTCCTCCATAGTTTTATTTTTTCAAATTTTTTTTCTTTGAACGGTACCGTGGCTATCCAAATCCTTCATATACTTCTATATACCAAAAGGGATTTATTTTGTTCTGAAAACACTTTTATTTCTCTATCAGGTTACGTATCCCAAAAGAGATACAAAAATATGTCGTAGGCACAACTTAAATTTAGACAAATATTTAATTTACCTAGGCAAAACTCCAATTTTAGTTTTGACTGGTCAAAACTTGAATTCAAAATTATAATTTGAGTTTTACCTGAATATAAGTAGACGCAATTAAAATTTTAACATCATCAAAGAATATTCCTGACTTTAGTCGACTAAAGTCAGGAATATTCTTTGATGATGTTAAAATTTTAATTTCGTCTACTTATATTCAGGTAAAACTCAAATTATAATTTTGAATTCAAGTTTTGACCAGTCAAAATTAAAATTGGAGTTTTACCTAGGTAAATCAAATATTTGCCTAAATTCCCTAGACAAAAAATTTTTGCTAAAACTGATAGGATTCTTATA